ATGCCAGCCCCTCACCGTCTGGTCATCTGTAGTCTTGACTGATTGTTTCTGAAAACTGTACTGTAGACTGGGTCCAGCTTTCTCTGGAGTCTCAAGAAGTCGTTGTTGGATTCACTGTCTCTGCTGCTTAAAGTTTGTGACCCAGGTATGGCAAGTTGTTGAGGTGCAGGCAGAAAAATCCCGATGCTAGAACTGTTCCAATGCCCCACAGACTTCTTAAGATCATGGAGAATGGGTTTTGAGTTCCAAAATTTCATCAGCTCCCCTGGATTCACTGGCTGAGCTAAGCTCATTGCTTATGACCCAGATGGACTAAGCTTCCGGGGACCAGGAAGAAAGTTCTCTGAGTTTAGAGCTTCTCTAATGCCCACTGGCTTCCTCGTGATGGTGAACCGTAGGACTTGAGTCTAGTGCATAGCAAGGTTCAGCTGTATTTACTGTCTGTGCTGTGCTGGCTTATTCTGACCCCGGTGGGTCAGTGTCCCAAGGACTCCTTGGGGAGGTGGACAATGGGACTTAGCTCCTGTGACTAGCTCAGCTCCACTGGGTTCTTTGTGCTGGGCTCATTGTTTTGGGGCTAAGTGAGCCAGGCTGCTGGGGCACCAGTAGAAAGATCTCTGTGCCTAGAACTACTTCAGTGCCGACTGGCTTCCTTGAGATGGTGGACCATGGGACTTGAATCCAGTGCCTAGCTCAGCTCAGGTGTATTCACTGTCTCTGCTGTGCTGGCTTATTTTAACCCAGGTGAACCAGGAAGATGGTGAGCAGCAAAATGTAGCAGGGCCTCCTCCACATTACTGGAAGGTATCCCCTCAACAGGATGGTGAGAATGAGCAAAACTAATTGAGAGACCAGGAAAGTGTTCCCAGGATGGTGAGAGTGGGCTGACGTGTTTGGAACCAGAAATCCTATCCCTTATTACCCAGAAGGTGTCCACAAGACTAGGAAAGTAGGAGCCTGGGTTAGTAGTCTTACCCTAAGTACAGGAAGGTATTCATTCTAGAGGCAGTGAAAGTGAGCACCCACGGACAGAGCAAAGCCAACCCGTTGGTCCCCGGACGATGTCCACAGAATGTGGGCATTTGAAAATTTCTTTAAATGTTTCTCTGCCATTCAATATTCTTCCATTAAGAATTCTCTGTTTAGCTCTGTACACTACTTTTAATTTGTTTATTTGGTTTGTTGGTATTTATTTTCTTGAGTTATTTTTGTATTTTGGATATTAGCATTGTGTTGGATATTGGGATGGAGAAGATCTATTCCCAGTCTGTAGCCTCTCATTTTGTTCTGTTGATAGTATCCTTTGCTTTACAAAAGCTTTTCAGTTTAATGAGGTCCCATTTATTAATTGTTTATCTTAGAGCTGATCTGTTGGTGTTGTGTTCAGGAATTTGTCTCCTTTGCCAATGAGTTCAAGGGTCTTCTCCTCTTTTCCTTCTAGTAGATTTAGTGTTTCTGGCTTTATGTTGAGGTCTTTGATCCCCTTGGACTTTACTTTGTGCAGGGTGATAAGTTTGGATCTATTCACATTTTTCTACATGTAGACATCCAATTAGAGCAGCACCATTTGTTGAAGATGCTATCTTACTTTCATTGTATGCTTTTGGCTGGTCTGTCAAAAATAAGGTGTTTATAGGTGTGTGTGTGTGTGTGTGTGTGTGTGTGTGTGTGTGTTTGTGTGTGTGTGTGTGTGTGTGTGTGTGTGTGTTTGCCTGTGTGTATGTGTTTATTTCTTGGTCTTCTATTAGATTCCATTGATCTACTAGTTTTCTAGTCTTATTCTATGCCAGTACTATGCAGTCTTTTTTTACTGTTGCTTTATAGTACAGCTTGAGATCAGGGATGGAGAAACCTCCAGAAGATCTTTTATTATAGAGGATTGTTTTAGTTATTCTGGAGTTTTGTTTCTCCATATGAATTAAAGAATTGTTTTTTTCAAGGTCTGTAAAGGATTGTGTTGGTATTTTGATGGGAATTGCATTGAATCTGTAGATTGCTTTTGGAAGAATGGCTATTTATACTATATTAATCCTAATGATCAATAGTGTGGGAGTTCTTCCCATCTTCTGATAGTTTCTTCAATTTTTTCTTCAGATATATGACATTATTTTCTTTATTATTATTATTATTATTTATAATTAATTTACTTTAGTATTTAATTTATTTACAATTTATTAAATTTATCCCAGTTTTAGCCCCCTCTCTCAAATCTTCCAAGTCCTACCTTTCCCCCTTCTTCCTCCTCTATCCTTCTTCCCTAGTCCACTGATAAGGGAAGTCCTCATCCCCTACTGTCTGACCCTATTCTATTAGGGCCCATCAGGATTGTCTGGATCTTCTTACTCTGTGAGCTGGCTAGGTTACCCCAACAAGTAGAAGTGATCATAGAGCAGGCAACCGAGTTCATGTCAGAGACTGTCTCTTCTTCTAGTTCTATGGAATTTATATGGAGAATGAGCTGTCTATAGGCTACATCTGAGCAGGTGATCTTGGTCCTCTCTATGAATGTTATCAGTCTATGCAGTACCCCATGTGCCATGCTTTCTTTCTTTTTTTTTTTTTTTTGGCTTTGTTTGTCTTCTTCTTTGGTTCCAGTCCCTTCCAGATCCTTTTATATCTCCCTTCTACCTTAAGACTCCCTGCACTCTATCCAAAATTTGGCTGTGATTATCTGTATCTGCTTTGATTCCCTGTTAGTTAGAATCTTTTAGAAGACATCTGTGGTAGACTCCTGTCCTGTTTTCTCTCTTTTACACTTTCTAGTCTCTATCTTGTTTTACCTTCTGAGTAAAAATTAAGCATCTTCTCTAGAATCTTATTTGTTGGTTAGCCTCTTTAGGATTGTAAATTTTAGTATGTTTATCCTATATAATATGGTTACTATCCTATTATAAGTAAGTATATACCATGTGTGTATCTCTACTTTTGGGATACCTCACTCAGTATGATTTTTTCCAGTTCCATCCATTCACCTGCAAATTTCATGATTTCCTTGATTTTAACAGTATTGCATTGTTTAAATGTTACACAATTTCTGTATTCATTTTTTTTTGCGTGAAAGACATTTATATTGTTTCCAGATTACTGCTGTAAATATAGTTGAGCAAATAACCTTATTATATGGTTGAGCATCTATCAGATATATGTCCAGGAGTGGTATAGCTAGCTGAGTCTTGAGGTACCACTATTTCCAGTCTTCTGAGAAGGCTCCAGATTCATTTCCAAAATGGTTGTACAAGTTTACATTTCTACCAGCAATGGAGGAAGCTTCCCTTTTCTCCATATCCTCTCCAGCATATGTTGTCACTTGAGTTTTCGATCTTGGCCATTCTGATGTTATCATACAAGCCTTTCATTGTTTCCTTAATTTCTTCCTCAGCCCATTTGTCTTTTGTATACAGGAGGGTTAATGATTTTTTTGAGCTAATTTTGTATGCAGCCCCTTAGGTGAAGTTGTTTATCGGCTGTAGGAGTTCCTTGGTAGAAATTTTGGTGTCACTGATGTATACTATCATATCATCTTCAAATAGAATACTTTGACTTCTTTCTTTCAAATTTGTATCCTCTCCGTATTGTTTCATTGTCTTATTTATCTAGCTAGGACTTCAGGTACTATGCAGGTAACCCTATCTGCTGTGCAATGTATGATGACTGTCAACAGATGCATAGATGCTTTGTGATTTTAGCTTTGTCTGCAACATAGTTTTTAAGTTAGCATATGCTGCTGTTTTCAGAGATGGGTATTTTACATAGCTTCTCTCAGCCATACTATGAATCAATATGTCTCCTATCACTGCCTCAACTGCCCCCCAATATAGAAATAACATATTATTCATAGGGCAGGTTCAGAACTGTCCACCTAAGACTCTTCTGTATCATCAGTGGTAGCTGTCTAATGTCCCATTATAGTAAATTTCACAAAAGGCTGCCTGAATCTTTCATGAACTCAGTCACTTTTGACAATTTGGAGATGTTTAGCTCTATTTTAAGCCATAGGAAATTAAGACAATATTACTACAATAATGAAAATATAATAGATTTTTTTGTTCACTATTAAAAGCTGCATTAACTACAAGAAGTTCAAATTTCCTAAAGTATAAGTTAAAAAGAATATTAAATATTACATTTATATTGTTGTTCTAAGAGTTCTGTCTTTGTTTTTCATTTTTACTAAAGCTAAAACAAATATGTAAATATTTGTATATGTATATTTGCATAAATGTTATAAATAATATATGATAATTTAGTGAGGTAGTAACAGAAAGGTGTAGTATGCATAGTATCTATAATTGTGGGGATTTTAAGATTTTAAGTAAACATGAATGATGGAAATATAAGTAAAGAAAGGAATACGATTTCACTAATCTTCCACTCAGATTTCTAAAGAACATTAACCTTTCCATTTTATGCATACTTGTCAATCCATAGCTGTAGAGTTACATAATACAAGCATCCAATAACAAGTGTCTGATACTTCATTAGCGCTAATGGAACTTTTTTCCAGCCTTACATTTTATTAACACATTAATTATGAAAAACAGAAATTTATAACATCCAAAACCTAAGATGATACTACCAGTAATCAAAGCATTTTTATTAATTTCATTTTTATCACTAGGTTTATGATATGCATACCTTCAAAATAGGCCATGGACATGAACTAGGATTATTAATATCACAATTTATAATTAATACAAATTAGCAACATAAACCATGTGGGTAAGGGTGAGCAACCCATTTTAACAAGCCATTCTAATGATCAGGGTACATGATGAAGTTTAAATGGTAGTGTATTAGATTATGCATCTAAAACAGTTATGGGATGCTTATGTTAACTAGGGAATAATTCTCTGCAGTATAAATTACAATGTGTATAGCAAGGGATTTCTGACATAAAGACAAACTATTTCCTTAAATCTATCCATCCACTCACTTGTTTGTATTTATCTATTCAAGTAAGCTATGACTACATGTTTAATTCTGTAAATCTTAGCTCTTACGTGATAAAGTCTAGAAGTGAGGCATGTTGTGAATGGAGCTGTATCACCCTTTCAGTATTATCCATTGGTAAGGACTGATTTGAGTTAATTCCAGGTGGAAGTCTTCCACTCAAGTGCAGAATCACATCATAAATTGTCTTATTATATTTATAAAAATCATACTGTCTGGAAAACTTCTTAGGTGATGAGGATGCTGAATAAAATTGTATTTTCTGCACATCCCTATGGAGGAAAATGGAGTAAGTGAACAACAGTTTCAAAATGTTGCTTTATATAAAAAAAATATGATCAATAACTAAAGCAAATAATATTAAGGTAGACTGAGCAATAAATTCTAAAAGGCAATTTCTGTGGTTACTATTTGCAACACAAAATAAATTTTTAAATATTCCTAAAGATTTTGCATTATCTAATTTACATGTATTACACTTATACTACAATTGAGGGGCTCAGGGAGTGGACTAGGAATCATTTGCATTTGAGAAAAGACAACAAGGGTTGATTCCTGGTCTCATTATCTATTTACTGCATTTTAATATGGGAAGTACCTTAAACTCACTGGGCACTATTCTGCATTCTATAATCTAAATACAATTTCTATACTTCCCAATATAATTTAAAAAAAAATTTAAAAAATTTAAAGTATATATCATACATGTAAATTTAAAAATAAATTAACACACATTTTTATATTGGAATCTAACCATTAAAATGCCATATCCTGCACACTATCCTACTAAGAATTCTAATTTAAAACAGATTTCAGAATTGTACTGTTCCCATATATGGAACTAATCCTTGAGAAAGATTTAACAAACTTCTTTTACCTCTATCTTTTACAAAGGTTGTGAAATATACTCTTTTTTGAATGGAGTAAAAAAGAATTTTGCTTTTTACATTTTGTCTAATTTTTTTTCATGAATAAGATATCAAAAAGCATCCAAGGGTTCATTGTTGAATAGCAACTACTAAATTTGATAGAAAAAGTCTCAATAGCCTAATTTATGACAAAGTACCTTTTATTAATAAAAACAAAACAAAAAAAAACCCAAAAAGGTTAAATTGTTCAAACTTCAAACCTGGCTATACCTTTTATTTTGTGTTTGACCTATATGCTTCCTGGATTCCTCAAAAATATAAAATATAAGGGAACAAGTAGTATTAAATTTAATATCACACAATACACTACATTGTGTGATAATTTATTTTATATGATTTGGGGAAAAGAGTCATCATTAATTTCTCTATCTGCTTCAGTTTTGAACTTGTTCTTATATCTATTTGACTTATCTTTGAACACTATTGTGGACTTAACTCTGAAGAGAATAGTCACCACTGAAAAAAGATCAATAAAAATAAAAGAGCTATACTTCTAGCATTATACCAAGTGAACCATAATAAAATAAATATAAAAAGGCAGAAAAAAATAATACTTCTAAAGTTTCCAAAGTATTTAATAGTCCATTTTAAAACGATAAATGGCTTCAGTGACAATTTAATAAACAGATTACTACAATAAGTGACTCCCAGGCCTTGGATATATCCAGTTATGAGTGAGCACACCTGTAATTGCAGAACTTGGTATGAAAAGACAGGAAAATTGCCAAGTTTAAGGTCAACATAGCTTATGTAAGGAGTCCCAGAGCTACATATACATAGCAATGCTCTGTGTTATAAACATAAAATCTTGGATGAAAAATTTGACAGATTTTCTGACAAAAGAAATTGAAGTCACAGAAGTGAAAACCTCAGGAAGTCAATACAGATCACAGTGAAAAAAATTATCTGTAGAGTTGGTAATGAAGAAGCGATTGAAGCTAAAGTTGTTAAAAAACTATGTATTCAGAGAGCAATAAAAATAATAATGACAATAATGTATGGGATCTCTGGGTTACAATTAAAATGTCAAACCTAAAGGACCTATGGCATAAAAGAGGATCCTGAGATACAAATTGATAAACGTCTATATATATATATATATATATATATATATATATATATATGTTGAAAGAAATCAAATTACACAGTACAGTTACTCACACATTAGTATCCACAGAATCCAAGTTATACAATCAGCCTAAGTGACCATCAACAAAATAATAATGAGGAAAATATTACACATAACCACACACACACACAAATATTATGTTCTGACGAGAAGAGGAATGAAATCACGTTGCTTTCAATAAACAACATGCAACAGGATATCATCATGTGAAGGAAAACAAACCAGACTTACAAAAATAAATCACGTTTCTTATCACAAACAGAATCTAAATTTGAAAAAGACACCAAAGTAGAAAGGAGACTATTTCAAGAAGAGACGCTAGTGTGATGGGTTCAAAGGCATCATGGGAAAGTGTGTAAGAGGTACAGAGGTACAATGACATCATGGGGAAGTGTATAAGACTAAAGTATATATATATATATACACATATATATATATGTATAAATACATATATATATACTCATACATTTACACATATATATGCTCATATATCATATATATATATATTCTCAGTAGCAACTTAATTTAAATCAAAAGTATGTTGAAGTATATATGAATCATATAATTTATATTACATTATCTTAATCTCAATAGTTCCCAATGAATAATCAGTTTAAAAATATTAATTAACTCTTTCATTTAAATGATCCAAATAAGTGCACAATATATAAAAAAATACAAAACAAAAAAAAATAAAATAATCAAATGTCACCTTCTTATTGCTTCAGGAATAGAAAGAGAATGGGGCCCTCCAGGCCAGCCAAAGAGACTGAACCATGTCTCAGTTGCATTCACAACATTCTGAAAATAGTTAAAAGCCTTTGATCCTTCTTCAAGTGCAAAGAAGAATTGATTCCTCTCTTCATTTTCCAGAGATACAAAATTTACTCCATCTGAAATACTTTCATCTGAGTCCGAAGAATCACGTGCAATTTCAATCCCTAAAGTCAACATTTGTTATATAAGCTTTTTAAAATATTTTCTTTTGTTATTATAATTATTATTGTTATTATTATTGTGCTTGTGGTTGTTGATGTTATTTATTACAACTTACTCACTTTGTATCCCAGCTGTAACCCCCTCCTTAATCTCCTCCTAGTCACCCCCCACCTCTTCTTCCCTATGTCCTTCCCTTACTCCACTGATAGAGGAGGTCCTCTTACCAGACTATCTGACCCTAGCCTATCAGGGTCAGGACTGTCTGGATCCTCTTTCTCTGAGTACTAATAAGGCCACCTTGCCAACAGGAGCTCACCAAAGAGCAATCAATACGACCCTGAGATTCCGCTTTAAACCCATCAGAATGGCTCAGATCCAAAACTCAAATGACAACACATGTTGGAGAGCATGTGGAGAAAGAGAAATCCTCCTCTGTTGCTGGTGGGAATGTAAACTTGTACAGCCATTTTGGAAATCAATCTGGTGCTTTCTCAGAAAAATAGGAATAGTGCTACCACAAGATGCAGCTATACCACTCTTAGGCATATATGTGAAAGATTCTCAACCACACAATAAGAACATTTGTTCATCTATGTTCATAGCAGTATTATTCATAATACCAGAATCTGAAAACAATCTAGACTTCCCCCAATCAAAGAATTGATGCAGAAATTGTGGTATATTTACACAATGAAATACTACTCAGCAATCAAAAACAAGGAAATTATTAAATATGTAGGTAAAAGGATGAAACCAGAAAAGATCATTCTGTTACATAAGCTTATTATTTGACCACAGAATATTCTTCTAGTTAGCTCTACTTTTAATAGCTAAATAAAAGACCTTCAACAAAGTATTATTTTTATTTGTTTGTTTTTTATTTTATTGGGTTTTTTTTTTTTTGACAGGATTTCTCTGTGTAGCCTTGGCTTTCCTGGATTTGCTTTACAGCCTGTCTGGCCTTAAATTCACAGATATACTTCTACCTGTGCCTCACTGAGTGCTGGGATTAAAGGCATGTGCCACCACACCCAGTTTCAACAAAGTATCTATACCCTCCAATAAATTTGTGTGCATGTACTGCATTTTAAAATAAACAATAATATTATAGTTATTTCCAAATACTTAAAATATTTTACAATATATTTATTAGAGAAAAAATGATGTTTTTAATTGTCAAGAATTTATTCACAAAAACTCAATATGACTGTTTATTTTTATTTACATAAGGAAGCCTTATTAACATTGCTTTACCATTGCTTATATAAAAATTAGACTTTACCTGAAAGAATTTACAGAAACAAAATGTCAACTACATGTTATAAAAATGTCTTTGTTTCTGAGGATTGTTTCTGAACAATATTTTTTGTATTATGGAAATTTTAAATAATATAAATTAGTATGCTATATTTTGTCAAAAGACTTTTCTTATGGAATCACAAAAACACAGATTCACACTATTGAAGTTTTATTTGCTCAATTGACAAAAATTAATTTTAACATATGCTCCATATCTAGACAAAAGAATATCTGAATTAGCTCTCAAATAATACCAAACTCCCATGACCACCTATACTTACTACTTTCTAAAATAGGCAACCTTGCATACTGCTAAAAAATAAAATAAAACTCATAAATCTGCAGTTCACAATATGTATACAGAAGGGAGTTAATGTTACAAAAAGTTATAAGCGATCAACAAGATATTTAACAATTTTAGTTAAATATAAAGAAAACAACTTTAAGTTTTCTACATAGCTACTTAACAAATGGAACCAAAAGGTACAAATTTTGCATATAGAATATTACTGAAGCATTAGGAATACTGTAAATGTAAAGAACTTCTATGGCTAAGTGTTGAAAAACTTATCCAGAGCAGATTCTCCACTATGTCTGTGATGAATCCATGTGATTTCTTAATGAATTTATTGCTTGAAATGCTTAAGTTTTGCTATTAATAAAATTATATCATGAATTAGTTTTGATAAGTACATTATACATTTTTACATACCAACAAATAGGTTCCCATGAGTAGGTTCAGCATCATCAGTAATCTTGGAAACAAGAGATTCTCTCTTCTCTGGAGAAAATGATTTGGAATCCTGGCATGGAATTTCAGGAATCAAAAAGCTTCCTGTAGGCTGTGTAGTATGTCCTTCTTTATGCACAAATAACAAATTAGAGCATAGTTAGCCAAAGAAATCTTTGTGAAATTTAATTTCACATCATTTAACTTGTATTTCATAACTCATATAATATAGAAAAGGAAAGTCTAAATACAATTATATCAATACATGAAGTGACAAATTAAAATATCATAAACACTGGTATGATTCCCTAAACTGAATGGAATTTATTTGGTAAGATAATTGTCATATTATTAGAAAAATAAAAAATATTAACTTTATACAGAAATGTGTAATACATTTCAAATGTTGCTACAGCAAATAATTGAAATTATTACACAAAAGACATAAAAAGATCTCTGACAAAAATAATTTTTTTCTAGTTGTTCTCAAAGTTAAATAACTTCTGTGTTTGAGCTGATACCATTTTAAAGATTCCAGTTTGAACCCTATTCCAGTTTGAACTGCTATAAACTTTATAGTTTTTAACTCATAATATGCATTTAACTAACTATATAAACATATATACTGCAAATAATGTATGCATATATTTTCATACATATGTATGTAGATAGTCTGTCAGAAAAGCAAAACTGTACAGTTCAAAAAACTCAAGTCATAAGTTGGACAGGACTACTCTTTTGCCCCTAAACTCTGGGTAACTTTTTATACAAAGTTTCTGAAAAGAATTTTATCTAAACATAGGAAAGCAAAGATTTTGAGATCACTGTAATGATTACTTTAAAAGCAGTATAAACATCAATAAGCTGTTATAATATCAAATTTCTTCCTAATATTTTTAGAGCAAAACTATTCTTACTTTGTCATAGAAATTTTACCTAATATGTCTCAGGGGACTGTTGGGGTTTTAGTCTCTGACTTTCCGTTTTTCTCAATTTGTCCATCTCTCTACATCCCTGTAATGCCAATTGGACTAGCCTATACTTTTTTATATTAAATTTTATGATGGTTAGAATATAATATTTGACACATAATCAATTTTAATGATAATTTATAGACAAAATTGTTTTCTACAGCTTTGCAATTCAAATCTATATGTATCAACTTATAGTTGATACGTAAAAGAGCTTTTTGTTTCATTGTTTTTGTTTTTTTTAATATTTATTTATTTAATGTCCATGTGTGTGTGCTTAAGTGTTTGTATGTATACCACATATGTATAGGTGTCTCTGGAGTCCAGAAGAGGGCAACAGAGCCCTGGAACTGGAGTTACAGGCAGTTGTAAGCCACCTAGTGTGGATTCTGAGAACTCAACCTGGGTCCTCTGCAAGAACATAGAGTTAGGAATGGAGAGATGACTCAGGTTAAGAGAGTACTGGCTGCTCTTCCAGAGGACTTTCATTTGGTTCCCAGCACCCACATGGTAGCTACTTCCAATTGATCTGATACCCTCTTCTGGCCTCCTCAGGTATTTCACATATATGGTACACAGACATACATATAAGCAAAACTCACAGACACATAAAATAAAAATTTCAAAAAAAAAAAAAGAGGACCAATAATGTTGACCACTAAGAAATCTTTCCAGCCCCATATGCATGCATTCTTAAATGCTTTCAAACTTCAATTTTATTTAAAACAATAGTTAGAACCCTGCATTGTTTGTCTTGTTAAAGACATAGATGACTTCTACAATGAAAGATAAAACTGATCTGTGCTTCTCTAGTCCCCTCGATAAATACCCCTAGATACCCTGTATGTTTCATATGAAAGACAAAAAACTGATGAAATGTGGGGAAAGGAAGAAAGATTGGGTAGGGGAGTCAGAGCTCCAAGACTGGTATAGAATTGAGTTCTCTGGTTTTCCCTTTTGCTTTACATAACTAAGATTTAGCCCTTAAGAAAGTGACACTGGAAATTCTAATGTGTTTAAATAAAAATGACACAATGAGAAGCAACTTTCCTTAACCAAAGAAGATAGGATGGGACAGCTTATGGACACAAAGATCATTCAGACAAAAACCTCTCCATTGCTGTCAAACACAGAGAAGAAAGAGACTGCAGCCCAGCTCCACATGGCCACCAGAGACAGGGGAGAGAATAATTGTCTATTGATGGGAGGTGGCATAGTTACTTTTGTGCTACTGTAATCAAGTACTTGATTTAGCAACTCAAAGGCAGGAAGGTTTCTGCTCAGTTTCAGAAGGATTTCAGACCACCGCTGCAAGCAGATGTGGTGGGCACAACACAGGGGTTGTAGTGTAAGCATTTGATGTGAGTCTACACATAGCAGCAGAACAGGGAACAGAGAATGGAAGACAGAACCATGGGTAACAAAAATTCCCACAGGCATACTTCAAGTGTTTCTATTTCTGCCAACCACATCCCACCTCCAAACAGCTCCTCCGCCTTCAAAAAAGCAGCCCAAATAGGAGACCACACATTCTAAACAAGAGCATGGGGAGGGCATTTCAGATTCTAGCTACACCTGGCCCACAAAGGTTCATTACATTTCATTTTTTTTTTTAATTTTATTTTTCTTTTTAGTTACATTTTGTTAACTCTGTGTCCCAGCTGTATCCCGCTCCCTCATTCCCTCCCCAACCCCGCACTCCCTCCCTGGTCTCCTCCCTGCCCCTTTCCAAGTCCACTGATAGGGGAGGACCTCCTCCCCTTTCATTTGACCCTGTTTTATTAGATACCTTCAGGGCTGGCTGCAAAGTCCTCCTCTGTAGCCTCACAGACTGCTCCTCCCCTGGGGTGGGGGTGGGGGGTCAAACAGCCTGCCCTTGAGATCCTGTTAGAAATGTCCGTGTTCCCCTTACTTTGGAAAACTACTTGGTTACTGAGCTACCACGGGCCACATCCGAGCCGAAGTTCTAGGTTATATCCATAGATGGTCCTTAACCAAACCATGGCAGAGTGCAGGGAATCATATGAAAGAAGGGAAGTTAGTATGATATGGAAAGGATAGGAGCTCTACAAGGACCAAATATATCCGGGCACAGGGTCTTTTCTGAGACTGACATTTCATTTCTTAAAGCTCTCATAGTCTTAATAGTCCCTATTCTGTTCAAAAGACCAAAGTTCAGTCTCTCCTTAGTCCAGAAGAAGCCTTTTAACTGTGAGCCTCTCTAAAGTCAAAATGTAAGTTACATGCTTCCAAAATACAAAGGCATAGAGAAGGCATTTGCATTTCAAAGGGAAGAACAAGACAGTAAGGAAAAACTGGACCAAGGCAAGAGCAAAATCTAGCAGGGATATTCCATGTGAGATACATGTTAGCTTCTTGTGAGCTTCACCTTTTTAATCTGTCATATACTATGTTACATATTCAAGACAAAAGCCTGAATAGAGAAATTAGTTCTATTCTCAACTATCTTATAAATATCACAATAGAATACACATGTGAAGCCTGAGAAGTCAAATTGAAGTATGGAGTATGGCAGGAAAATGGCAGTTATGAGAGTATAGAAGATGAATGAAAATCCTATGTGCATAAAGGCTGAGCTCCTCCTTGGTATATAGCTATGCAGTGTCTAATAGAGACAATTTTCTAATCACCAAAAAGATTATCAAAAACATACCGAGAATAAAGGAACTCATAAAAGTTTATTATGACTTAAACATAGAAGATAAAATATCCCAAAAATAAGAATGAAGCCATTACTTGAACTGTGATATAAGAAACCTTATTGTTGCTTTCATCCTACCAGCAATGGAATTCTATATAAAGATTTTGTTTTTAAGTACTTCATTAGATATTGGGTTTCATTTTTGAGATTATTATAGTGCAGCAAATGTATTTTTATCCTATTTGTCTCCACTATCCTCTTTTATCCCCTCTTTCGTTGATTCCCATTTTCATCTCAGCTAGCCCCTTTTCTACTTTCATGGCTTTGGTTTTTGTTGATTTGGGTTTTTGCCTAGTTGATTTAAATAGAGTTACTTACAAAGTTCTTTGTCCCTCCTCCAACAATCAGTAACTGCTTAGAGATCCACAGTGAGGAATTTGGCGTCTTTAGCAGCCATTGAACACTTTAACATCCACTGAGATACCCTTGAATTTGCTACCTTATTGCCTCAGCCTCCTAGTGCTGGGATTATGATTAACTACCACTATGCTCAACCTTTTTAAAATTTATTTGTTTGTATTTGTGAGGGAGAGTGTCTGGGTATCTGTGAATTGTTGCTTGGAAAGGGCTGAAGACAATATTGGGACTGCTGGAGCTATAGTTTTAGGAAGTTGTGAGCCACAAAAGAACTCAGGATCTTTGAAGAACAGCACATGTTCTTAACTGCTAAGCTATTTCTCTAGCAGTTTGCATGCACAGAAATTAAAAGATGAGAGCCCATGTCAAATGCAGTCCCCACTTTCCTTACTTGAGGACCCATATAAAGCCTAAGCTGCCCAAGGGTTACATTTTTGTTGTAGGTAGAAGGTCTTGCCAGTTTTTTGATCACTTCCCCCTGGGTGGGACTGCCTTGCCAAGCCCCAGGTGATGAGAACATGTTCAGCTCAGTCCTGATGCAATTTGATGATCTCAGGTGGATGGGAAGGGGGCTCCCCTTTTCTGAGGAATAGGAAAGGGGAGGGGGAAAAGAGGGAGCATGAGACTGAAAGAGGAAGAGGGATGGGGCTACAACCTGGTTGTAAAATGAATAGAAAAGAAATTAAAAGAGGACATTTCAATTTACAAATATCACTGTTATTATAGTATTAAGCACAGTTTCTGAATGAAAGGGCATTGCAAGAGGCAGCCTTAATTTCATGAAATTAATTTCATGTATCATGAATTATGCAGCAAAAGTCAGAAAAGAATTTAAAAAAGAAAGATATTTAGAGGTTAAATAATACAAATAAACAGGCTGAATGCACAGTGTGAGATAGAAAATGTCAGTAAGGATGATCCTCTCGATTAAACATCAGATGAAATTTAGATACATTTGCAGGGATGGGGTATCCAGAAGAATGTGAATCTTTCAGAAAGGTAAGTTTTATTGTCATCCTGTAATATTGGTTGTGCTTAGGAAATCTAATGAAAAGTACTATCTAGATATTTTAAATCTGAATTCCTGAATCTCTGATTAGAGGCTGACAATATAGTGTATGAGTTATAAGACAATGACTTTCGATTTACAATTAAAAGTACGGATATGAGTAAGAGTTCATTAAATATGTTGGTGGGAACATTTAGAGTGATTAAAGCAGACCCAAAGAAGTATGATATGTGATATCCCTAAAAAACTGTGAAAATGTAAATACATGCTGAATAATCAACAGTGTTGGTTGTGTTCAGTGGTGAAGTACTGCTTCCTGCTGACTTCTGAAATTACTTTGTTAGCTGAAGGAAAAGTACTTTAATCCCTCATTAACCTTTGTAAATTTTCCTCCTACCTCTGGAAAACTAAGTATTTTTTTGACTGGTGAACTGAGAAAGAATAAATGTGAAACGAGTGACCTGAACTGCCCATTGTTTCTTTGAAGCTTTCTGGAGAAAACAATCTCATTTCTCCTTTCTGGTATCTTCCTGAAAATTAACGTACATCAGGTAAGTGGAGGTAAAAATTGCCTAGAAAGTGTTCCAAATGTTACATAGTATATTTTGGACCATAGATAGTAGGAAGAAAAGGAAGAACTAAACCAGGAGAGAATACTAATTTCTGGTTATGTGACTGGAATAAAAAGAGAAATTTTAGATTCTGATTCATGCTTATTATTTGAAACTTCAGTAGTGTGTTGTTGTGTGATGGTCTGTTTTTTGATGTTGTTTATTTTTCTCAGGAGTCATAAAGAATCTGTTCTCTGATGAGACAGAACAGGACCAAGTATTTTTCATAAAGCATGATTAACAGTTGAAAAGGCAAGTAAATAATACAACTGATTAAAATAAGGGAAAATGCTGACATAGAACTAAAATATATGGATCAGACAGTGCACAGTGAGACTTCTGCTCCTCCTGTCACAGTACTGTGAATTTGCAATATTGTTCTCTATTCAAACAATCCTGTTTAACATTATCATTTGACAAGGTTGACTCAAATAGCCTCATAATTTCTATAAAGTCATTGAAAAGATCTATGTTCAATAAAACTCAAGTGACAACACATGCTGGAGAGGTTGTGGTGAAAGGGGAACCCTCCTCCATTGCTGGTGGGAATGTAAACTGGTACAACCACTTTGGAAGTCAATCTGGCGCTTTCTCAGACAATTAGGAGTAGTGCTACCTCAAGACCCAGCTATACCACTCCTAGGTATATACCCAAAATTTCCTCAAGTACACAACAAGGACATTTGTTCAACCATGTTTGTAGCAGCTTTATTTGTAATAGCCAGAACTTGGAAACAACCCAGATGTCCATCAACAGAGGAATGGATAAAGAAATTGTGGTATTTTTACACAATGGAATACTACTCAACAATCAAAAAGGAGGAAATCATGAAATTTGCAGGCAAATGGTGGGATCTAGAAAAGGTCATTCTGAGTGAAGTATCCCAGAAGGAGAAAGACAAACTTGATATATACTCGCTTATATAGACCTACAAGATATGATAAACATAATGAAATCTACACACCTAAAGAAAATAATCAAGAAAGTGGACATGGGTGAAGATGATCAATCCTCATTTAGAAAGACAAATGGGATGTGCATTGGATGTATGACAGGAGTCTACTGCAAAAGGCATCTGAAAGACTCTACCTAGCAGTGTTTCAAAGCAGACACTAAGACTCATAACCAAACCCTCGGCAGAGTGCAAGGAATCATATGAAAGAAGGGGAGTTAGTATGATATGGAAACGATAGGAGCTCTACAAGTACCAAATATATCCGGGCACAGGGCCTTTTCTGAGACTGACACTCAACCAAGGACCATATATGGACCATAACCTAGAACTTCTGCTCGGATGTGTCCCGTGGTAGCTCAGTAACCAAGTAGTTTCCCAAAGTAAGGGGAACAAGGACTATTTCTAACAGGATCTCAAGGGCAGGCTCTTTGACCTCCCCACCCCCCAAGGGAAGAGCAGTCCTGTTAGGCCACAGAGGAGGACTTTGCAGCCAGCCCTGAAGATACCTGATAAAACAGGGTCAAATGAAAGGGGAGGAGGTCCTCCCCTATCAGTGGACTTGGAAAGGGGCAGGGAGGAGACCAGGGAGGGAATTGGGGATTGGGAGGGAATGAGGGAGCAGGATACAGCTGTGACACAGAGTTAACAAATTGTAACTAAAAATAAAAATAAAAAAGTCAATCAATTCTTTATTCATGCATCTTCAGATACCTGCTAAATTAATGAAATAAAAGGCATTGTCATATTCTATTACTAATAACAAACATAGCTCTGCAAACAATAAATGTTTAATATACATATGTTAAATTACTTGACTCCATGTTCTGGATATCCAACATAGCACGTTGACATGCCTTATTCACAGTATATTATTTGATGTACAATTTAGTTTGTAAGAACCTGAACAGAGAGATAATGGACTCAGCCAAAAACATCTTACCATCCTTTACAATAACTTTCTGCTTGTCCAGATGAGTTGCCAAATAAAGATAAATAGTAAGAATGCAATTTTCTGCTGTTGCAGTAACTGGAAGGGAAAACCTAAAAATGAAAATATGTTATCAAAAAACCCACTTCACATGTAATAAAGGCAATAAAATCACATGTAATAAAGGCAATAAAATGTTTCTAATTATTCGAAATATCTTCAATGCTTAAAATTCAAATTTAATTTAATTCAAATCAAATTAAACTATTTGTTTTTTGTAATTTATATTTTTATTTCTTACAATTAATTCACTTGTATACCAGGAGTAGCCACCTCCCTTGTACCCTCCCAATACTGCCTTCACTCCCTCTTCCCCTCCCATGCCCTTCCCCCAGTCCACTGATAGCTTAGGCCCTCTTCCTCTTCCCTCTGATCCTAGCCTGTCAGGTCTCATCAAGACTGGCTGCATTGTCTTCCTCTGTGGCCTAGTAAGGCTGCCTCCCTCCTCATGTTGAGGTGATCAAGAGCAGGCCAATGAGTTCAAGACAGAGACAGCCCCTGATCCACTTACTAGGGGAACCAATTGGCGATTGAGTTGCCATGGGCTACATCTCTTCAGGGGTTCTAGATTATCTTCATGCATAGATCTTGGTTGGAGTATCAGTCTCAGAAAAGACACCAGATTTTATGGTCCTATTGCTCTCTTTGTGGAGCTCCTGTCCTCTCCATATTTTACTGTCTCCCCTTTCTTTCATAAGTTTCCCTGCACTCTGTCCAAAGTTTGGATATGAGTCTCAGCATCTGCTTTAATACCCTGCTGGGTTAAAGTCTTCCAGAGGCCCTCTAGCTCCTGTCCTGTATCCTCTCTCCTCCTACTTCTGATGTTGACCTGTTTACCCTTCTGAATGAAGATTAAGCCTCTTCCCTAGGGTAATCCTTGTTGTTCACAACCCTTACCACCACCACAGGTGGCCTAACTAGGCCACAGAGAAAGAGCTTCCAGACAGTCGTAATGAGACCTGATAGGCTAGGGTCAGATAGTAGGGAGAAGAATACCTCCCCTTTCAGTGGACTAAGGGAGGGAGATATTGGGGGATGAAGAAAGGAGAGTATGACCAGGAGGAGATAAGGAAGGGAGAGTGTGACCAGGAAGAGATGAGAGAGGGGGCTACAGCTGGGATACAAAGTGAATAAATTGTAATAAAAATAATAAAGTAAAAGGAATAAAGATTCCTCCCCACAAGAAAAGAATGGATAGACAGCCTCAGCATTCTGACATATTCCATATCTAATATTGATGTGTGTGTGTGTGTGTGTGTACTCTGTATATTTTTGAGAAAGAAGCTGTTGAAATGGATGGGAAAAGAGAAAGAGATGAAATAGATACAAAAATACAGCAGAAAAGGAATAAAATAGATTACCTTTTCTTACAGTTTGGGAAAAAATATGTATGATATAGCTGCTCTCAAAAGATGCCTGTGTTTAGCAAAAATCTCCATATCACCTCATTGTTGTTCTTCATGCTTTCCCCCTGTGCTCTGTTGTATAACAATCCACCAAGCCAAAGCACCAAAAATATCATCAATAAAACAATCTAGTTGTACCTTGACATTTTATGTTCTATGTTGCTACTTGCAAAACATTTGCTCACATCATCTTTCTATTTACATATGAAGAAATGTGTCTCAGAAATCAAATTAACATAGCTATAACACCATGAATGCATATAATTTACTATTTTGCTGTTTATCATGAAAGCGAATTTATACTTGGAATGTTAAATATTGTATGTCCAAGATCATGATATTAGATGTCATTCCTTTCACCACTTTAATAAAAAATAGAATAAAAAGCTAGTATACTTCAATGTCAAATACAAACACATTTACATTTAAATATCTTACCAGTTATCTCTCTCATCACAAAACAGAAGCTCAGCAAAAAAGGAAACAGGTTTAGATGAACTGAAACTAATATGACATAGTAGCTCATCATTAATTCCGGTACTAGAGCCAGTTATAACTCTGCCTTTTGGAAATGTCACAGTAAGTGGTTGAATTTCATCATCGTCAAGAAGCATTACAGTGGGAATCTTGAATTGTAGAACTGAATTACTGTTTAAAAAATTTTTTTAAAGTTAAAATATCAACAATTAATTTGAATTAAATGCACATTTATTTTCTTAAAAAGCAACTATATACAATAGTATTTTTACTATTTAAACATTTTTTTTATATTCTCTTTCTGTATGTCCCCTTTCTTTTGTAAGATTTAAGGGAAATAAAATATCAGACAAAACAATATTGCTCCTAAATATAACCATCACATAAAATTATTTCCCTCCAACATATCCTAGCAAAGATTTGTCCAAAATGATCAGTTAACATTGATAAATTGAGGGGCAGGGAGGAGATGAGGGAGGGAAGGGTAGGACTGGGAGGGAATGAGGAAGGAGGCTAGGGCTAGGATACAAAGTAAATAACCTGTGATTAATATAAAAAATAAAAAGTAATAAAAAAGAAAACTAAAAATAGAGAAAAACATTGATGAATTGAATGTATATTTGTCCAAAATGATCAGTTAACATTTATAAATTAAATGCATATATATTAAATAATATTGATAAATTATATACTTGAAGAACTTTTAAAATGTGGATATTAATAAGCACCCCAAAATAAATATCACAAATAAATTTTGCCTATACATACTTTAACATACATTATGCTAGATGTTTAACATGAAATTTTTAACAAACCAAAAATTATGTAGAATCACTTTAAAATAGATTTGCTATTTATAATTCTGCTGCCAATAAATACTGAAACATTAGCTTTTTATTTCATTATGTATGTGTAAACATATAGCAAATAAGTATTATTAAATGGGAATAATATTCTCTTATCATTTTAATCACTGTGAATATCACTCAGCTAATAAATGAAACCAGGAAAAAATTTTTAACTGAATTTATTATATCTATATGGCACACCAGAAAAAATATGTGAAATTAATTCATAAGTACAGAAAAAAGCAACTTAGTTCTAATTAACTATCATTGAATGCATCATTTATGCTGCTGATTTCATGATATGTATATAACAAAGAAACTTAGTGTCATCATCTCCTTAACTCCTTTAACAGAATTGTCTTTTCATATTTTGAGTTCAAGTAGTTTTTATATTGATATCACCATACATTAATTAAAGAGCTGAAAGGTTAAAAGTTAATTCTTATATTAAGAAAGTTTCTTAAAAGGAATACTTTTTAGCAAAATAATTTTTAATTAATTTTTTTTATTTTTTTACATTACATTTTATTCGCTTTGTATCCCAGCTGTAGCCCCCTCTCTCATTCCCTCCCAATCCTACCCTCCCTCCCTAATCTCCTCCCATGTTCCTCTCGAGGGAGGAGCAAAATAAATTCTAAAGTACATTATTTGTAAACAAATAGATGTAAATGAGTCCTTATAAAGTAAAATCTTGACAAAACTGCAAATTGCAAGGATATGTTAAATCTTCAAAAAATGAGGTCTTCACAAATTGAACAACACTTAGTGCAAAGTCTGCGGCATCAACCATTATAACTTCCCAACCAAACAGAGAAAATAAATATCACATTGCCTTCTCCAATTTGGATATTTCATTAACCATGTTAATATATAATTATTGGTAATATAACCCATGTATACAGTCTTTCTAGACATCCAAAACTCACTATTTTGTTTCTAATACTCAAACACAACTGTCTTACTAAAGTTCATTCATAACCTAAATACTCATGTCCAAATAAATAGCAAGTTATTTATGCCTTCACTTGTCAAAAGAAACATGTGTAGTTCTCAGATTTTGCTGCACGAAAAACATTGTTATGGGTAATGTTAAGCATGGCTTATAGTACAGAACTGAAATTCTGTTTCTAGGATATATTATTGAGACAGTCAAGACCCACTCTGCAAAGTGAAGATGCACTACTAGAACATTAGCCTATATAATGATACATGTTTTCCTCCATCCTAAACATTATCACTCTCCCAAACAACATTATTGGTCTCAAACAACAAATATACAGGAAGGTAAACACCAACAAACTCAGTAATCCAATTAAAAAAACGAGGTTCAGAGCTAAAGAGAGATTTCTCAACAGAGGAATATCGAATGGCAGAGAAACACTTAAATGCTCAACATCCTTAGTCATCTGGGAAATTCAAATCTAATCCACCCTGAGATTTCATCTTACACCAATTACAATGGCTAAGATCAGAAACTCAAGTGACAACACATGCTGGAGAGGATGTGATGAAGGGAGAACACTCCTCCATTGCTGGTGGGAATGTAAACATTTACAACCACTTTGGAAATCAATCTGGTGCTTTCTCAGACAATTAGGAATAGCTCTACCTTAAGATCCAACTGTACCACTCCTGGTCATATATCCAAAATATGCTCAACCATACAACAAAGATATTTTCTCAACTATGTTCGTAGCAGCTTTATTCATAATAGCCAGAATCTGGAAACAACCTAGATGTCCCTCAACAGAGGAAGGATACAGAAATTGTGGCACATTTACACAATGGAATACTACTCAGCAATTAAAATCAAGGAAATCATGAAATTACCAGGCAATTGATAGACCTAGAAAAGATCATCCAGAGTGAGGTAACCCAGAAGCAGAAAATCACGCATAATATATACATTCACTTATAAGTAGATATTAGCCATACAATATAGGATAAATATACTAAAATCTATAGTCCTAAAGAAGTTAAATAGCAAGAAGGTCCTTAGCAAGAAGATGCTTATTCCACATTCAAAAGGGCAAACAGGATAGACATCTGAAGTGTGAGAAGACAGGTAACAGGACACGAAACTAGCACAGAGGGCCTCTGAAAGACTCTACCCAAGCAGAGTATCAAAGCAGATGTTGAGACTCATGTAAACATTTGTTCTTGAAGAAAGTTCCCCCTTACAATTTTGACTGAGTGTGCATAGTCTCTGGTTCAATTTTATTTCTGCTATATGCCTGGTATGGTTATAGAGAGGAATTCCTGGGGTGTGAGATATCATTCTTTACATAGCATTATATGGAATGGTAATAATACACCATGACTACTTTACCTGAGCTCTTAGTTTTAATAATACTTCTATTGTAGCATTTGGTTATTTCACTATAAATTCTTATAAGGTTATTTATATATTTTAATGTGTTTATATATTATTTTTTATTATTTCAACTACCATAGCTATTATTTTTCAATATTTCTATTGTGTCATTTGGTTATTTTAAAAGAGATTTTTCTATACATTCTATATTAGCCTACAACTCAAGAACCTCTTATGTTCTGGGATTACATCCACATAGTACCTTGCCCAGTATTTATATTTTCTACATTTTATCAATCATTTATTTGTTGTGATCCATACTAAATAAAAGGTGAGAAGTAATATTAATTTCACTTGTAATATACTTTAAGAGATACGGAGTGAGTGGGCAGCCTTGCCTTATCCCTTATTTCAGTGGGATTGATTTTTGTTTCTCTTCATGAAATTTGTTGTTAGCTATAGGCTTGCTGTATATCGCCTTTACTATGTTTAGATATGTGCCTTATATCCCTGATCTCTCCAAGACTTTAAATATGAATGGATGTTGGATTTTGTCGAATGCTTTTTCAGCATCAAAGGAGATGATCATATGGTTTTTCTCCTTAAGTTTGTTAATATGATGGATCATATTGATGGATTTCCATGTATTGAACCACCCCTGCATGCCTGGGATGAAGCCTACTTGGTCATGGTAGATGAAACAAAACACTCACAAGATATAAAAATAAATAACCGTGAGTCACAATCACATGCAACCTATAAAAGTTTGCAATCATAAGGATTCCACACTCTGCCCAAAGTTTGGCTATGAGTGTCAGTATCACCTTCTTTACCCTGGTAGGTACAGTCTTTCAGAGGTCCTTTGTGGAAGGCTCCTGTCCTGTTCCTTGTCTTCTCCCACTTCCAATGTCATTCTTGTTTGACCTACTGAATGAGGATTAAGCATCTTCCCTAAGGTCCTCCTTGCTGTTTAACTTCCTTAGGACTATAGATTTTAATATGTTTATCCTACATTATATGGCTAATATCCACTTATAGGTGAATATATACCATATGTGTCTTTCTGCTTCTGAGTTACCTCACTCAGGATGTTTTCTTCTAGCTCCCACCATTTGCCTGCAAATTTTATGATTTCCTTGTTTTTAATTGCTGAGCAGCATTCCATTTTTTAAATGTACCACAATTTCTGTATCCATACCTCTGTTGAAGGGCATCTTGGGTGTTTACATGGACAGAGTACCAGAATCCTTATGGAAGAAGAGGGAAAAAGAAAGACCTGGAGGGGACAGGAAATTCACAAGGAGAGTAACAGAGCCAAAACAAAGACAAAATAAACAAGACAAAACAAAACAAACAAAAAACAAAACCCTCATCCAAGGGCTACCTGCAGAGAGAGAAATCTAACCAAGAACCATGCATGGAGAGGACTTAGAACCCCTGTTCTGAGGAAGCCCATAGGCTTCTAAATTTCAAAATGGGCCCTTAGTAAGGGTTACAGGGGTTGTCTCTGACATGAACTCAGTGGCTGGTTCTTTGATCAACTCCCCCTGGGGGAGCAGCCTTACCAGGCCACAGAGGAAGACAAATGCAGCCAGTCATGATGAGACCTGATAAGCTAGGTTCAGATAGAAGGGGAAGAAGTCTTCCCCTACCAAGAGTCTAGGGAAAGGGCATAGGGGGAGAAGAAAGATGGTAGGTGGGACTGGGAAGAGACTAGGGAGGGAGATGCAGAGGTCATGCAAAGTGAACAAATATAAATAAATAAATAAATAGATAGATAGATAGATAGATAGATAGATAGATAGATAGATAAATAATTTGAAAAATAATACCGTATCCCACCCCAGAAAATTCTATCAACTGATTTAATATATCCTGGTACATGAAGGACATCCAGAATTTTGCAATCATGCACAAAACTAAGATATAGAAACCCTAAAACGAATTAAAAGGAAAATTTTGACTACCCCTTCTGCACAGTAAATTATTTCACTACATATCTAAAGTAATTCTGGATCAAGAAAAAGATATTTAAAAAAACAATATATTCTTTCATTTTAAAATATATAATATGATATACCTCATAATAAAAGAATATACATTTCTTTCTCCTTCAAGCTTTGAATGTTTACAAAAAATAGCAGTGCCTTGTCCTCTGCTTACAGCCCAAATCTCAAAGCATCTCTCAGCTGATATCATGTAGACTGTGCTATCTGATAGTAAACAAGCTTAGAGGAAACAGTAAAAAAGAAATTGATTGCTGATAATTTTGGAGCACATGGTACACATATGACCACATGTCTAAGACCAGAAGATGAATGTTAAGAGCTAAATATGGCCCCAATCAATAATTCTGACTCATGACTTTGGAGGACTAAGACACAGAAGATTTTCAAGCTGCAGTTAATGCATATCTTCCTGCCCATTTAGATACTGAACAAAAGATGCAGCTAAACTCACCAACAATACTGATCCATATAAACCCCAAGAGAACAAGGACTATTTCTAACAGGAACTCAATGACTGGCTCTTTGGCCTCCCCACCCCCCAAGGGAGGAACAGTCCTGTTAGGCCACAGAGGAGAGCTTTGCAGCCAGTCCTGAAGATACCTGATAAAACAGGATCAAATGAATGGGGAGGAGGTCCCCCCTATTAGTGGACTTGGCAAGGGGCACTGTGGAGTTGAGGGAGGGAGGGAGGGACTGGGAGGGAATGAGGGATCAGGACACGGCTGGGATACAGAGTTAATAAAATGTAACTGATAAAAAAAATAAAATTCAAAAAAAAATAAACTCCAAGAGAAAAAAGTAATGTTGTTTGTGGTATCAAAAAATGTTTTAAGGCACAAAGCTTGTGCTGTTTTTTTTTATACTGAAATTTTTAAGCTTATTTAAATGGCAAAAATGACTACAAATGCTATTTTATTTTTTAAATTGTCATTGTATAATAAAATGATTTAATAGTGCTTACCAACTACAGTAAGAAGTTCGATATAGCATATAATTTTCACATAACACAGATACAAACAAATAAAGAATATGTGGAAATTTCATATTAACAATTTACCTGAAATAGTTTTGTGGCAAAATTTTGATATCTACCCCAGCTGTGATATCCAAAGGAACAGGAGTAAAACATACAAATGGTGGATCAAAAAATATCTTTGGTAATTGTATCTCTCCAATCAGTTTTAATGTTGTATAGTCAGATAAATTATCATTTAATCGTATAGCAACGTCGGCTAGGTATGTTATAGGCTCTTCTACAAAAAAGTGCTACAGATTAGTTTACATACCAAATTATATATACTGTAAGCATTACTATATAAATGTACTATAATATTGTAGCTCAGTGGGGCATAGTAGTTTACGGAGGAACAAAGCAGCCTGAAGGTGGAAAATAAAAACTAAATAAAGCATTATTGAAAAAAATATATCTCCAAGTATAACTTGTCTAAAGATGGAGCAAATCTTTTTAATGTCTACTGTGTGAAGGGAAATGCACATAGAAGAGATGTTTACTACATATAGAGATGTTACTACATGAGGGAAAATAAATAATACATGGAAGGAGTATAACAGGACTTCTTTAAAATTTATTAAACTTATTTTGTCCAATGTACCTAACTTCAATAAATTTCTAAATCAATGATTATTAAAGACAAAAAAGACAGTAAAAGTCACATGAGAGATGTTCTTCAATTCCACAAACCACTAATCTTCCCAAATTTCTAAAACAATTTCATTATACTAAAAAAAGATCTTGCAAAATACAGGCAAAATATCAAATAAAATTTCAAAAAGCACAGTTCCAGATAATCTAGATATGTATGTACATTCTTCTCGCCACACTTCACATCATATGCTATACAGTCACTCATATTATTTCTTAGTTATTTCCAAATCAATTTCATAAATGTCATATGAAGAATTGAAAAAGCATACAAAACAATAATACAATAAATAAGAACTTATATTGTGCTTACACAAAGAGTAGAAATAGAATGACAAAATTTATAAATGTATTTAAATAATATGTTTTTATTAATCAGCTAATTTTCTGTTGTTTCCAATGCTTTAACAGAAGCTTCTAATACTTATGGAATACAGGATATAATGACAACATCAAAAACTACCTGAGGACAAATGGTGGGAACTAGAAAAGATTATCCTAGAAAAGGTATCCCAGAAGCAGATGCACTTATAAGGGGATATTAGATATATAATATAGGATAAACATACTAAAATCTGTACAGCTAAAGAAGCTAAGCAAGAAGTACCCTAGGTAAGGTGATCAATCCTCACTCAGAAAAACAAATGGGATAGACACTGGATAAGGGAGAAAACAGGGAACAGAACAGGAGTCTACCACTGAGGACCTCTGAGTGACTCTATCCAGCCATGTATCAAAGCATACGCTGAGACTCATAGTCAAACTTTGGGCAGAGTGCAGGGAATCTTATGAAAGAAGGGGGAAATGTAAGACATTAAGGGGACAAGGAGCTACAAAGGAGAGCAACAGAACCAGAAAGTCTGGGCACAGGGGTCTTTTCTGAGACTAATACTCCAACCAAGGATCATGCATGAAGATAACTTAAAACCCCTGCACAGATGTAGCCCATTCTCCATGTGGGTTCCCTAGTAATAGGAACAGGGACTGTCTCTGACATGAACTCAGTGCCTGGCTCTTTGATCACCTCCCCCTCAAGGGGGAGCAGCCTTACCAGGCCACAGAGGAAGACAATGCAGCCAGTCCTGATGAGACCTAATAGGCTAGAGTCTGAGGGAATGGGAGGAGGAACTCCTTTATCAGTGGACTTGGGGAGAGGAATGGGAGGAAAAGAGGGAGGGAGGGAGGGAGGGAGGGGACAAGGGAAGAGGCTACAGCTGGGATACAAAGTTAATAAACTGTGATTAATAAAAATAATTGTTTTTAAAAAACTTCCTGAAGAATATTAAGGGATTCTTGAAAATGGCATATGATGAGTGAAACTGTCTCTGCTTTGAAGAAAAGCTGTCAGGGGCCACTAGAGAGATGGATCAGCAGTAAGATTCAGGTTCAGTTTTGTCTCCCTACATGGCAGCTCACAACCAGTTTCAGTACATTCACCATTTGTTTCTGGCATCAACAGACCCCAGACACAAAGAAGTTATACCCACATATATGTAGGCAAAACAGCAGTACACATAAAAATATCTAAAACAATATTTTAAAAAACAGAAAAATACTTACGTGGACAGAAATATAATAAAATAGTATACTTTTCATTTGGTTTCAGACTTCCAATCAGTGCAGTAAATTTGAATATGCCAGTTTTGAAATATGTGTCAGTTTTGCCAATATCCAAAGACCACTGAACAGGTTTTTTTGAAATATTAAATAAGACAAGAGCCTGTTCATACATATAAGAATATATATATGAATAAAATTTTTAAAATTAATAAATGCATTATAATATTTAGTTGTTAGAAACAAGATCTGAGTATTTAATTATTATAATAGTAACAAGCCAAAGGACCAACCTAACAGAGTTCTTATATTAATTATTTACAGCAAAAATAAAAAAATATGTTAGTTAATACTTACATACTAAAATAAAAGAGAATACTTTCTTACAGAAAAATTCTAAAATACACATACAAATGTCTTCTTTAAATTCCCTAATTCTTTGAAATTTAGCACATCACTGCCAAATCAAACTTTCTTAGAGAATAGAAAAAAAATCAATTGCAATGAGTCACTGTGATGTCAAGTAAGTTCTTCATGTGATGTCAAATGTAACTTCTGAATTATTTCTCAAGTTGCATCCATGCAGTTGGTTTTGCTCAGATATTGAAAATATTACATGCAGCAGCTCTTGGCAGGGGTCTTTTGCATACAAAACCTCCTGCTTCTAGGCATCAGTGATCTCAATGATGTCCCCATGGTATTCTACCATGAAGTCTCCCAATGAGAGCTGCATGGTGGAAATCACACCTCCGCCTTTGCCATCAATGAGATCAGTCTTCATGCCCTCTTCCCTCCTACTCTCAATCAACTCATCACTTTTTTTTTCTTTCTTTAGACTGCAGCTCAGCTTTGCTCTTCCTGCGGCAATTTCACACTACATAGAAATTGGTGAGTTTTGTATTCTGTGTTTTCCCTTCAGATTTTCCAACGGGTCTCTTCCCCTCAAGTATCATTTTTAGGACCTCCTTGGCAGCCACCACCAAACAAGTAGAATCACTTGACAGGGTGGAGTTTTTGGAAGTTCTGTTGTTTCAGATTTTGGGTTTGGAAAGGTGCCAGGGTACTTCTGGAATCTTTGATCTTCTGTTCATCAGACTTCAGGGCACATCAAACAGCATTCTTTTTCTTTTTGCCTTTCCTGGAGATTCCAGGTCATGGTTTCTACTTGCATTTGACCTCATTATGTACAGCTTATTTCTTTTCCTGATATGGGGAGCACATTTCAGAACATTTGTTTAGACTCATGTAGGCATAGATTTTTTTTTTACTGTCCGGAAAAGACATTCTACTTCAGTAAGACTAGTTCTATGATGATACAGATGGTGCCATAGCCCAGCCACCTGTATTGCTGCCACTGAGGCTGCTGCTGCCACTGATACAAGTGCTGCTTTGGTGCCCCAGACAAGTGATGGAGGTGTTCCATGGTTGATAGCAGGCAGGGCACCAGCATATGAGGCCCAAAATGAGACCAGGGACAATGAAGGCAGGATTGGCCCAATAGAGATATTTTATTAATCTGAAACTCTTAATATTATACATTCTAGTTTTTATCAATTCAATGTTAAATATTTTCCCTATATACTTTCTACTCAGTATTAAAAATATTCAACAAAACTGATTGTAGGAATAATAATACACTATCCAAAAAATGGTAGGGGAAATATAACTCCTACAGGATATATATGATCTTCTTTCTTATACATATCTTTTTTTCCTTCTACATATAGTCTTAATTGGGGGATAAAATGATACACAGTAAGAAAAAAATAGTAGAGTCACATATAACTTACTTTATTATATAACTGCATTTTGCTTCTTTTCACATTTTCATACATGTATGAAATGTATTTGAATCTAATTCAAATTATGTAATTGTGTATACAAGATAAGTCATTATATGTGTGGTTGAAATTTAAAAAAATAAATAAATTCTGGGTGGCAATGAGGAGGATCAATGGGCAAAGGCATTTACAGCACCATCTGGTGAACTGAATTCTACCCCCAGAACACAGTAAAAGGAGAATAGAACAACTTTATGAAGTTCTCTGACCCCCCCCTACATATGTCATAACATGAATGCCCACATAGACACATAATGAATTGACACTCATAGTAATAAAATTTAAAAATTTATTTTACAGGAGTTTGTTAGATGGCTCAGTGGGTAAAGTTCCACTAAAGTAAGAATGATAATATGGCTTCAAATCTCCAGAAATGAACAACAGGCCATGTGCAATCATGCTCAACTATAACCCTGTGCTCTTTCACTGTGATGGAAGGCAACGACAGCAAAATTCTGAAAATTCTTTAAAGCTCATGGGCTAACTTGCTAAGCTTAAGCAGTTACAAACACACACATGCACATTTGTATCTATATGCACTAGAATCTATAAAATCCAGTGTTGCTGCTCCAAATATCCTGAATAAATGTAACACATTACTAATAGGCAAAATTTCAAACCACTCATGCTTTCAAATAATCAATTAAGTGAAAACCGAAAAAATTTTGAGCTATAAAGTATGTTAATTATTTATATACCTGAATTCCTGTGATCTTCTTATTATTTTGAAGCTCGTGTAATGGTATTTTAAAGGCAAATACAGTGCTGGATAATTCCAGCGGTGCTTGCAACACTTTAAAAGAAAAGTAAAAAAAAATAATATTTTAAAAATATTAAAAAAGAAAAATAGAATGTGGACACTATTTAGTATGGTCTCCAAGGGAAATGATAAGAAAGTTAGGTCTTGTTTTGGTTTATACTGTTAGTCAAAAAATAAAATTCCATTTCAAACATTTTTAAAACACCTTGGTTTCCAAACTTGCATATATTCATTTTATAAATTGTTAGTGGTCATAAATTATACATAAACCAAGACAATACCACTGACCTATTAAAAATAATAAAATACAGTGAATATTGAAATAAGAAAGGACAAGTGATATTAATTTGATCTCTATACTGAGGTATAAATCATGCAGAAATGAAGAAGCAAAACATAATTGGAATACAGGGAACATAAACAAGTGACAAATTTATTAAGAATTTCTGTAAAAAAGTTACATAAGGGGTGGTAATTTTTTAATCTATTCTTTACCTTGCTTCCTTAATCTTACTTCTGAAACATCTAAATTCTTTTTTTCTTTTTTTTTATTCTTTATTATCACACTTTATTCAGTATGTATCCCCCCTGTGGTTCCCTCCCTCCTCCTGTCCCAATCACTCCCTTCCTCCACCCTCTGCATTCATGCCCCTCCCCAAGTCCACTGATAGGGGAGGTCTTCTTTTCCTTCCCTCTGATCCTAGTCAATTAGATCTCATCAGGAGTGGCTGCATTGTCTTCTTCTGTGACCTGGTAATGTTGCTTCCTCCTCAGGGGGAGGTAATTAAAGAGCAGGCCAATCAGTTCATGTCAGAGACAGTCCCTGTTCCTATTACAATGGAACCCACTTGGATACTGAACTGCCATGGGCTACATCTGTGCAGGGGTCTTAGGTTATCTCCATGCATAGTCCTTGGTTGGAGTATCAGTCTCAGGAAAGACCCCTGTGCTCAGATTTTTGGTTCTGTTGCTCTCCTTGTGGAGTTCCTGTCCTCTCCAGATCTTACTATTTCCCACTTCTTTCCTAAGATTCCCTGCACTCTGCCCAAGGGTTGCCCATAAGTCTCAGTATCTGGACTGATAGTCTGCAGGGCAAAGCCTTTCAGAGGTCCTTTGTGTCAGGCTCCTGACTTGTTCCTTCTTTTTTCCTTCTTATGATGTCCATCCTCTTTGCCTTTCTGGATAGGAATTGAGCACTTTAACAAGAGCCCTCCCTCTTGATTAGTTTCTTTAGGTGTACAGATTTTAGTAGGTTTATCCTATATTATATGTCTATATGAGTGAGTATATACCATGTGTGTCTTTCTGCTTCTGGGATAGCTCACGCAGGATGATCTTTTCCAGATCCCACCATTTACCTGCAAATTTCATGATTTCCTTGTTTTTTGTTTTTTGTTTTTTTTTTATTGCTGAGTAATATTCCATTGTGTAGAGGTATCACAATTTCTCTATCCATTCCTCCACTGAGGGGCATCTGAGCTGTTTCCAGCTTCTGGCTATTACAAATAAAGCTGCTACAAACATGGTTTTCCAAATGTCTTTCTTGTGTACGTGAGCCTCTTTTGGGTATATGCCTAGGAGTGGTATAGCTAGACATTGAGGAAGTGCTAAAAACGACTGCCTACAGATTGGTAAAGGATCTTCACCAACCCTATATCTGACAGAGGACTAATATCCAGTAACTATAAAGAACTCAAGAACTTAAACAGCAACAAATCAAGTAATCCAATTTAAAAATTGGGGAACAGTGCTAAACAGAGAATTCTCAATAGAGGAATATCGAATGTCAGAGAAACACTTAAAGAAATGCTCAACGTCCTTAGTCATAAGGGAAATGCAAATCAAAACGACCCTAAGATTTCATCTTACACACATCAGGATGGCTAAGATCAAAACCTCAAGTGACAACACATGCTGGAGAGGTTGTGGAGAAAGGGGAACCCTCCTCCACTGCTGGTGGAAATGTAAACTTGTACAACCACTCTGGAAAGCAATCTGGCGCTTCCTCAGACAACATTTAAATTCTTAATAAAATAAAACTATAGGGTCTAGTAAGTGTTTAGTATCTGAGTTTAAGACAGTCAATCAAATTTATAGTTGCTTTACCAAGGGGTTGGTATATGTGAGAAAGGAGAATCTTATTAATGGTTTGCTCCAGTGTACCATACCCAATTCCAGTCATGAGAAACTCTAAGACAAGAAGCAGTAGATCCAAAGCAAAAATCACATACAAAATGGCTTTTCAATTTGTGAATTAGCAATAATTTATGGTATAAACAGAAAAGGTACTATCTAGATTATATCTGTAAACTCAAAGCTTTGTTTTAACATTATCAATTATCATCTGGAAAACCTGATTTCAGTTAAACATAGTCTCACTCAGATTTCTCCACCAAAATTTTATAAGAATCACCAAATGTTCAAGGCATAATGTTTCAGAACAAACCCTACCTTTATTAAAACATGTACTAGTGTCCAGAATATCAAAAATGCAATATGAACTATGGAGATCAGCATTTTGTGAGACATTAATAAAGATACAAAAGCAAGCAATGAACAAAAGAAACTGGGGGAAAACAAAGTAGAAAATTTAGAACAAATCATTATAAAGATAAAATAAAATGTTTTTGCAAAATGTGTATACTATAAATTTTTAAATGTCTTCAGAAAATAAAACATAGTCTACCACAAAATTTACAAAGGCATTAAAAGTAGAGTAGATTGTGGTACATTTACACAATGGAATACTACTCAGCAATTAAAAACGAAGAAATCATGAAATTTGCAGGCAAACAGTGAGACCTAGAAAAGACCATCCTGAGTGAAGTATCCCAGAAGCAGAAAGACACACATGGTATATACTCATGTAGAAGTGGATACTAGACTTATAAGATAGGATAAACATACTAAAATCTGTACACCTAAGGAAGCTAAACAAGAAAGAGGACCTGGGGTAAGATGATAAATTCTCACTCAGAAAGGCAAATGGGATGGACACTGGAAATAGGATAAAACAAGAAAACGCATAGGAGTGTACTATAGAGGGCTTGAAAGACTATATGTAGCAGTGTATCAAAGCAGATGCTGAGACTCATAACCAAACTTTGGGCAGAGTGCAGGGAATCATACCAAAGAAGGGGGAGTTAATAAGACCTGGAGAGGACAGGCACTCCACAAGGACCAAATATATCTGGGCACAGGGGTCTTGTCTGAGACTGAGTCTTCAAGCAAGGACCATCCATGGATATAACCTAGAACCCCTGCTCAGATTTAGCCCATGGCAGCTCAGTATCCTAGTGAGTTGCATAGTAAGGGGAACAGGGACTGTGTCTGACATGAACTCAGTGGCTAGCTTTTTGACCTCCCCACCTCCTGTGGGAGGAACAACATAGCTAGGCCACAATAGAGAACATTGCAGCCAGTCCTGCTGAGTCCTGATAAGCTAGGGTCAGATGGAAGGGGAGGAGGACCTCTCCTATCAATGGACTTAAAGAAGGGCAGGGAGGAGACAAGGGAGGGAGGATGGGATTGGGATGGAATGAGGGAGGAGGATACAGCAGGAATACAAAGTAAATTAACTGTAATTAATATAAAAAATAAAAATAATTTTAAAAAGTAGAGAAGAAATAAGGAAAATCTTACTATTTATTTTATCATTTGTAACAACTTATTCAATTTGTATCACAGCTGTGGCTCCCTCCTTTGTCTACTTCCAATCCCAGCTTCCCTCCCTCTTCTCCCCCTATGACTCTCCTCTAGTCTGCTGATAGGAGAGGTCTTCCTCTGCTTCTACCTGACCCTAGCCTAGTCTCATCAAGACTAGTTGCATTGTCTTCCTCTCTACACTGGCAAGGCTGAACTCCCAAGAAGGAAGCAATCAGAGAGCCTGCCACTGACTTCATGCAAGAAGAAACCCCTACTGTCCTTACTAGGGAACAGACTTGGAGACTGAGTCTATAGGCTATATCTGAGCAGGGGTTTAAGCCCTCTCTATGCATTGTCCTTTGTTGGGTTATCACTCTCTTCAGGGTCCACAGGGCTCATTTTTTTTTTTTTTTACTCTGTTGGTCTCCTTTTGGAGCTCTTGTTCCCTCCAGGTCTTTCCATATCCCCCTTCTTTCATGAAATCCCATGCATTCTGCCTAAAGTTTGACTATGGCTCTCATTCTCTGTTTCAACCTGATTTTTGACAAAGAAGCTAAAACCATAGAATGGAAAAAAGATGATATCTTCAACATCTGGTGCTGATTTAACTGGATGTCTACATGTAGAAAAATGAAAATAGATCCACATTTATCACTCTGTAGAATACTAAAGTCTAAGTGGATCAAAGACCTCAACATAAAACCAGATACACTAAACCTCTTAGAAGAAAAAGTGGGAAAGAGCCTTGACGTCATTGGCAAGGAGAAAACTTCCAGAATAGAACACTAACAGCACAGGCTCTAAGAGCAACACTCAATAAATGAACCTCATGAAACTGAAAAGCTTCTGTAAAGCATAGGACACTGTCATCAAAACAAAATTACGGCCTACAAATTGGGAAAGGATCTTCACCAACTCTATATCTGACATAGGTGTAATATTCAAAATATATAAAGAAATTACGAAGTTAAACACCAACAAAAAAAGTAATCCAATTAAAAATGGGGTACAGAGCTAAACAGAGAAGTCTCTGTAGAGGAATATAGAATGGCAGAGAAGCACTTAAAGAAATGCTCAAGATCCTTAGTCATCAGGGAGATGTAAGTCAAAACGACCCTGAGAGTTCACCTTACACCCATCAGAATGGCTAAGATCAAAATCTCAAGTGACAACACATGCTGGAGAGGATGTGGAGAAAGGGGAACCCTCCTCCATTGCTGGTGGGAACGTAAACTTGTACAACCACTTTGAAAATTAACCTGTCGCTTTCTCAGGAAATATCATTCTTATGAACTCTAGATGAGAGATGCATTTGAATTTTTAAAAAAGAAATGTTTAAAATCTTAGAAAATGTACAATTATCATGAAGTAATGAAACAATTGAGAACTTTCTAAAAATAAAATTAATATCTCAAAATATTCTTACTAAATATGAAAAATGTTATAAAAATGCAAAATTTATCATGAGAGATAATTTATTGATTTTAAAAGAGGAAATTTTAAAACAAATGTTTGTCAAAGCCATTGTAAAGTCAAAATTTCAAATTCATAAAGCTTCATGCTACCCATAAAACTTGTAATTTGGAATGTTTTAGTGAGTGAGAAATTTACAACATTGGCACAGTAGTTCAATGAGGTGTCTCTTTCCATCTGCCATATAGTGATTAAGTGATCTCACATATATCAGTATATTATTATTGACAATTTAACTCAGTATTAGAGATAAACATACAAATTACATGATTCTTGAATCTCATGGAAAGTAAATAAGCATATATAATAAACAGCATATCTAAAGGTTCTCAAAAATATAGCTTAAAGAGCCTATAAATTTTGTATTTAAATATTTTTAGAATATGGATAGAGAAATATTCAAAAAGTAATTCCAAAATTTAATGTTTAAAATACTTAGTTATCCTTTAGTAATTGTATCTGTTTTCAGGAAATGTTTAAGAAATTTGTTCTTATTTTATTTTACTTTCAAATCATTATGTTTTAATAATGTATATGTTGTTTTAACTTAGCTTTATAAACTTACATTTTATTCAAAGAATCAAATATGTATACATTGAGAATGGCTTTAATTTAATATTACAAATTTTAAAAACTGAAAATGATACTGATGTTTTCCTTACTTTTGGATGTTAAGCATAACGCTTTAAGTGTAAACTTACTCAGTTGACTATTTCATATTACATACCAGTAGCTTGAACAAAACATGGTGGAATAAGTGGTGATATTTTTGGCATTAAAATCTTTTTCTGTGACAAATATTTGGAGTAAAGCTCTGAAGCCTTAAAGGAATTAATATAGACAGGAAAGCTAAATTCGTATGTTGCTATCTGTCAAAAGAAAAAAGAAAAACAATATTTATAACTTTGATGGTTTTGATAATGTTGATACACATAAATTACCCTTTTCATAATAAAATTACCTTGTGGTATTAAAAATATTTATTTAATAAAATTAAGGATATATTCTTCACTATGTGAAAAGTAAGACTCCAAAACTATGAGCTAAAATGTTTTCTTAATGCCTGTTTATTAAAAATGAACCAAATATCCCACTATAAATACTAAAAGATCATGAAAAACAGAGAAAAGTCTTTGTGAATTCTTTGGTAGGCAAGGATTTAAGTATATCACTCCTAAAAGAGAGAATGATTACTTTTTATCATGAAAAAAAATAAAGCATCTATGCTGCTACAGATAATGTTAAGGAGATAAAATGAGCCCAAACCTATTTCTCACAAAATTTGTAGCTAGTATCAAAATGTATATAAAAGATTCTAGGCCTCTGAAAGGCTCTGCCCTGCAGACTATCAAAGCAGATTCTGAGATTTATGGCCAACTGTTGGGCAGTGTGCAGGAAATCTTATGTAAGAAGTGGGAAATAGTAAGATCTGGAGAGGACAGAAACTCCACAAGGAGAGCAACAGAACCAGAAATTTGAACACAGGGGTCTTCCCAGAGACTCATACTCCAACCAAGTACCATGACTGGAGATAACCTAGAACCCCTGCACATATGTAGCCCATGACAGTTTAGTGTCCAAGTGGGTTACATAGTAATGAGAAGAGGGACTGCCTCTGACATAATCTGATTGGCCTGCTCTTTGGTCACCTCCCCCTGAGGGGGGAACAGCCTTACCAGGCCACAGAAGATGATAATGCAGCCACTCCTGATGAGATCTGATAGACTAAGATCAGAAAGAAGGACTTGGGGAGGGTCATGTGTGAAGAAGGGGGTGGGAGAATTGGATAGGAGGGGAGGAGGGAGGGGCTTATGGGGGATACAAAGTGAATAAAGTGTAATTAATAAAAATTTAAAAAAGATTCTAGAGGGGGGGGGCAAGATGGCGGCACCAGGAGGATACTGCGTCTGAGGATCAGGACAACATTTTCTGTACAGGGAACAAAAGATTGAACTCTGGGCCCTAAAACAACAGTGATCATATTTCCCAGGTGAGAGGAAACTCCATGGTGTGGGAATCAGGCACATTCACTCTCCATTCACCCAGCCAGAACCTGGAAGAGATCCTGGGTCGCCAGACCAGAGCAACATGCCTGCATGTCCTGATCATCTTCCCAGGCTGAACAGTGGGCACAAAAACACCAGAGACTGGGAGTCCCAGTCACAAGAAAAACCCACAGGGAAGGAAGGAAATGGGACTGACCTCAGGTCACCTAGTCTTGCCCAGGAAAAGGTCCCACAGAATGGCAGTGCAAAGCCAGAACTGAACTCTGCTAAAGCTGCAAGCACAAAGATTTGCTGTGCAACCAACTCTCCCTCACAGACAGAACTGTGTACCCCAGGGAACCAGAGACTGGGAGTCCCTTTCAGGAGAAAACCCCATAGAAAAGGAAACGAAATGGGGATGGACTTAGGTCACTCAGTATATCCCTGGAAAAGGTCCCACAGCCCAGCTCATGTGCCAGCCCAGAAACCTGCTGTGCACCAAATAGCCTCCTGCTGCTCCCATGAGAGCAGTACTCACCTGCCACTTATGAATGCTTGGGCATTGGGGCTCAGAGCTCCAACCTCAGACCTACAGAAGCCTGGGATCACTGAGATCAACCCCCAGATACTGCTCCAAGGGGCAACCAGTTATCCCTAACAAAACTGACCAAACAACAGAGCACCCAGGTTACAGCAGCAGCTCACTAAATTTTCAGCAAGAAACCCAGAAGCAGGGCAGCTGTCTCCAGGACTTCTCCAAGTGAGAGGAGAGCCCTCTTGACTAACAAGGACCACAGTTACCACACAGGTCTGTACGCCTGAGGTGAGCTGTGGCAATTCCTGAAAAACACTGGCCATCCAGTGACCATACCTATAAAGCTGAGAAGGTTTCCTTCAGCAAAAACCATTTTCCTGCCAAGGGGATTCTCTCCACCACAGGATTCCAGGAACCACCAGAAACTAACACCCAACACCTAAGATAGCCCAGTGGGTAGAGGCCAGTGTAAAAGCTCAACCAACAAAAGACATAGCAATGTGGCATCTCCAACAGTTATCCAGAGACAAGCAGCCCTAGACACCCCAGCATAATTGAAATTCAAGAAGATGACCTAATATGTATGCTTATGAAGAGGATAATAGAGGAAACAAATAAAATGTGTAAAGAACTGGAGGAAGATGAAGTCAAACAGATTATGTCATCTGTAAAGAAATAGAGGACAATAAAGACAAACAGATTATGGCCATCCATAAAGAAATACAGGAAGTTGAAGCCAAACAGTTTGTGGCCTTTAGAGAAGAAATACTGAAATCACTGAAAGAAATAAAAGAAACAGAAGTTTGTTCAAACAAACAGCTGAAGGATTTGAAGGAAAAACAGGAAAATACAGTTAGACAGGTGAAGGAAATCAACATCTCAAGAGCTCAAGATCTGAAGATAAAATTGGAAAAATTAAAGAAAACACAAATGGAGGAAATTGTGGAAAGAAAGAACTTAGGGAAGAAAACAGGAACTACAGAGGTAAGCATAACCAATAGACTACCAGAGATGGAAGAAAGAATCTCAGGTGTGGAAGATACAATGGAAGAAATCAAAGTATCTATCAAAGAAAATGTTAATCTAAAAAATTCCTGACACAGAACCTCCAAGAAATTCAAGACAACATAAAAAAACAAAACCTAAGAATAATAGGAATAGAGGAAAAAGAAGATTCCCTCTTCCAAGGCACAGAAAGTATTTTCAACAAAATCATTGAGGAAAATTTCCCCAACTTAAAGGAGAGGCCAATAAGAATACAAGAGACCTACAGAACACCTAATAAATTAGACCAGAAAAAAAAATCCTCCCGTCACATAATAATCAAAACAGTAAGTATACAGAACAAAGAAAAAAAAATACTAAAAGCTGCAAGGGAAAAAGGCCAAGTAACACATAATGGCAAACCCATCAGAATCACACCTGATTTCTCAACAGAGACTATGAAAGCCAGAAGGGCCTGGAAGGATATAATGCAGGCCCTAATAGAACATAGATGTCAACCCAGGCTACTATACTCAACAAAACTTTCAGTCCTCATGGACAGAGAAAACAAGATATTTATTGACAAAAAAAAAATTTCAACAATAACTACACACAAGTCCAGCATTACAGAAGACACTAGAAGGAAAAATACAACCCATGGAAACTAGCTACTTTCAAGAAAACACAGGAAATAATTATCCTCACTACAGTAAAACAAAAAGCAACCAAGCACACAAACCTATTACCACAGCCAACATCAAAATCAAAGGATCTAACAACCACTGATCATTAATCTCTCTCAACATCAATGGACTCAATTCTCCAATAAAAAGACACAGATTAATGGAATGGACGTGTAAACAAGACCCAGCAATCTGTTGCATACAAGAAACTCACCTAAGGCACAAAGATAGTCATTACCTGAGAGTAAAGGCCTAGAAGACAGCTTTCCAAGCAAATGGACCAAAGAAACAAGCAATAGTAACCATTCTAATATCTGAAAAAAAGACTTTCAATCAAAATTAATAAAAAGAGATGGGGAAGGACACTTTATACTCATCAAAGGAAAATTCTAACAGGAAGACATCACAATCCTGAACATCTATGCCCCAAATACAAGGGCAACCACATTTGTAAAAGAAACATTGATAAAACTTAAACCACACATATATCCCCACACATTAATAGTAGGAGACATCAACAACTCACTCTCAGCAAAAGACAGGTCAATGAAAAAAAAATAAACAACAGAAATTAAACAAAGAAACAATTTATTTAACAGAGGTCATGAATCAAATGGACCTAACAGACATTTACAGAACTTCACACCCAAACAGAAAAGAATTTACCTTCTTCTCAGCACCTCAGGTTATCTTCTCCAAAATAGACCATATGGTTGGTCACAAAGCAAGCCTAAACAGATACAGAAGATTGAAATAATTTCTAGTATCTTATCTGATCACCATGAAATAAAGCTGGACCTCAACAACAACAGAAATAGCAAAGAGCCTACACACAAATGGAAACTGAACAACTTGCTACTAAATGACAGCTGGGTTAAGGAAGAAATAAAGAAAGAAATTAAAGTTTTCCTAGAAAAGAAAATAACGGCACAACATAACCAAACTTATGAGAAACAATGAAAGCAGTGCTAAGAGGAAAGTTCATAGCACTAACTAAATGCCTTCAAGAAGAAATTTGAGAATTCTCATTCAAGCAACTTAATGGCTCACCTAAAAACCCTAGGAAAAAAAAGAAGTAGACACAACAAAAAGGAGTAGACAGCTGGAAATAATCAAACTCAGGGCTGAAATCAATAAAGTAGAAACAAATGAAACAATTAAATAAATCAATGAAAGCAAGATATGGTTCTTTGAGAAATCAACAAGATAAACAAACCCTTAGCCAAGCTAACTAAAAAGCAGAGAGACACCATCCAAATCAACAAAATGAGAAATAAAAAGGGGGACATAACTACAGACACTGAGGAAATCCAAACAATCATTAGGACTTACTTCAAAAGTCTATATGCCACAAAATTTGAAAATCTAAATGAAATGGACAATTTTCTTGATTGATTCCACTTGCCAAAGCTGAATCAAGACCAGGTAAATCAATTAAATAGTCCTATATTCCTTAAGGAAATAGAGGAGGTCATCAAAAGTCTCTCATCCAAAAAATGCCCAGGGCCAGGGGGTTTCAGTGCAGAATTCTACGAGACCTTCAAAGAAGAGCTAACTCCAATTCTCTTCAAACTATCCCACAAAATAGAAACATAAGGAACACTACCAAACTCATTCTGTGAAGCCACAGTCACCTTGGTACCTAAAGCTCACAAAGACCCAACAAAGAAAGAGAATTTCAG